TAATATGAGAGAGTTACATTATTTCTTGTGTTTGCCAGTGTTGGTCAGAGACGTCAATCACTCTTCAATCAATAATAATAACTATTTATAAACATTGTACTGTTAGGTTTATCATCATGTGGATGAACGTCAATTGTAATTTCATCAACTGCCATATGATAATTAAAAATTTTGAATTGTTTCACTATTGTTATTGAACAATAAAATAATAAAGCTTTGAAATTAATAACAACTTAGAGTTTGTAGTTAGGATGTGGACAAGAAGTGTAGAAGGGTGTGGACAAGAAATGTGGCCTGGACATGAAATATCACCTTGAACTGACAATATGTATATAGGGCCTTTACTTTCAAAAGGTCCTTGAGAACAAGGAGGGTCCAGATAAAAAAATAGAGTTGATATGACCCTTAAAGAATACTGTATATGGCTGCTTGGCTGAGTAGTCTCTTTCAGTTATAGTTTCCTTTGGTGGCATTTGTTTAAAATGACATGCAATTAAATTTACTTAAAAGTTACTTACTTAAAAGTACCCTGGAATTTTCTGTTACAGACTTTAAATTATAATCCTGAAGTGTCAGTCGTGTTCAACTTTATGCTTGAAGTCTTGTCTGGTCTTTGATAAATCCTCCACCAGCAATGCTGGACAGATGTCACACTGATTTAACAGTGTAACAAATAGAGTTACTAAGGAATTAAAAAATATTTAGGAATATAACAAATCTACAAATTTAACAAACTTCCACAGTCACAATTTGGTGGTGTTGCACTAGTTAATATTGAATGTATCCACATTGATCATTTTTTTGTGAATGGTAGTAAACTTTGAAATTAAAAAAAGTTTGTTTTTTTACCGTTGGTTAGATGAGAAAAACTCACATTTGCTTAGTTAGGGTTATGGCGTAGGACTATGATGACTACTGTAAAGCCAGTCATCCTTAAATGATGCAGATTATGATGGGTTTACTTAGCATGAGCCTCATAATGGTGCCTTTAATAGAGTTTAGATATATATCCTGAAGTCAAAATCCTGCTATTCCTTGCCTGTGGGGTGGGGCACGGGTTACAAGTTATTGGTGTATTACAAATATTAAGCAAGATAATACTTAAACTACAGCTAATATATCATACTGATTAAACTTATCTACTTCAAAATTTTTCAAATGTAATACAAGAAAAGCATTGATGCAAAGCATCAAAGGGCGACGCCAAAAGAATTTGATCCAGGTTTGCATCTAAATACTCAACAAAAGGTGTGTACTTTATAGCAGTACCATTTCATGTGACCTGGAGGCTTGGCCCAGTTTAAGTTGAAACTTAAACCAAAAAGAATAGACTCTGTCTTGCCAAGATGCAAAGACAATTTATAGTCAATAAACCAATCTTAAGATTTACTTTACCAGATACAAGGATACCTGAGTTATCATCATATAATGACAGGCACAAGTATCACACCTGGGAAGAAAAAATTATGACCAGATTAATAAAAAATCTGTGTTCATCTTAAAAGTGTCCAAAAAAAAAATGTAAATAATGACCCCCTATTAACTTAAAGTATATTTTTAAAGGGGGTCATCATTTACATTTTTTTTTTTGGTTTGTGACACTTTTTAAAGATGAACACAGGTTTTTTTTATCAATCTGGTAATATTTTTTCTTCCCAGGTCTGATACTTGTGCCTGTGCATATAATAAAAGCTTATTGCTTAGGGTTGCAGACATGTCATTGACATATATTAGACATAAAAGAGGACCTATAATGAACATCAGGGGGACACCATAGGTATTCAGAGAGGAGTACCAGCCACATTCACCAGCTGCTATCAGAGATAAGACTTGAACCATGCAAGAATGTCATTACATATGGCAGATGCTTGAAGTTCCATGAAGAAGAAGAAAAAAGAACTTCTTCATGTGCAGTATAGTGTGATCAACTGTACCAAATGCTTTTTGTAGATCTAAAAGTATCACGCAATACTGCCTTTGTCCATTTCAAATTAAATGCAATCTATTAAATGAATCAAACATGTGTCAGTTGAAAAACCACTTCTAAACCCTGACTGAAACTGCCTGACCATGACTCGAACCCATGACTTTCAGAAGACCAACTGAGCTATCTGGCCGGCTACACATTTTCTCTTTAATAATGAAACAGTTCTAAACCTAAACCTTTTTCCCCACTATATTGATTCATGTACTTGAATTTCTGATGTTTACAGAGCATAGTGAATAAAACTCATGGTTATTTGCAGTAACAGGATGAGAAAAACTTTCAGCTTGACCAGAACTCAAACCTGTGACCCACAGAATAATGTACCGCGGCTGTAGCGATTGAGCTATCTGGCCGCTTACACATTTTCTCCCCTAAATAGTGAACAGTTCTAAACCATGACAGATATTTAGATTTTTAAATTAACAGATAATTAATTCTTAATTAATAAATAAGAAAAAAAAACTTACATACTCCTAGTCTTAATTAAAATAACAACTTATATAATTATTATTGTATAATTATTTTTACTAAAAAGGGCTAAGACAGTTATTGGTTGTGCCATTATTTATAACAGGTCAATTTGAAAGTGAATATAACTGTGCTAATACATGTACAATATCTATGATAAAAAATTTATGAAGGCTGATTTGTATTTTACATCAAGGGCACCGGGCGAAAACATGAAAATGCAACAAACGAACCACTTTGTGGTAGATTGTATTTTCATGTTTTCATCTGGCGCCCGGTTACTTTTTGTACTTTGTTGGTTTTCATGTGGCACAAATCACCCACTATAAAATTTAGTGTACAAATTTATTCAAGGACAAGTAACAATCTACTCTATGAAAAGTCTGTTGTCGAGTTGACTCAGGAGACCTGGAGATTGAGACCGGTGTCCCTCCATTACAAATAGATAAGGCAGAAGCTGTCCTTTTCAAACTATGCACATGTTAGAAAAAAATTAGAATAACTATTCAGAACATGATTTTTTGAGGCTTTATCAATTATATTGCTTGATCCAAGTTTCAGGACATTTTCAATCAATACATGTATTATCATTTATAACTTTAAATGAAAGTCTCATCCCTTTAATAATAATGATATAACTGCAATTCTTTAAATTCAGAAATATTATAAGTCTCATCATACCAATATACTAAGATATAAATGTATGCACATAACATTAATAATTCCAAGTTTCTATTAAATAAATATGAAATATTGGGTATATAAAGCCAGTAAAAGTATATATATATCAATATTCACTCATCAGGGCCTCTATGCTTTTGATGACCAAACAACATATATTATAAAATAAAAATTGTAAGTAATACCTAAGATAGAAAAGAACAAATAATTTAGTAAACATGAGTTACTTCCCCTTGAAATAAAGAAAACATGAAACCCAAAAGAACACCCTAAACATCAAAATTAAGAAATGTTGCAGGCTTATTTTAATTATGCCATGCAAATTAATGGTCAAGTATTCATAAAAAAGTAGATGGCCATGTGACAGCAGTAATTGCAGAAAATCGGATAGCTGTCAACATCCGGATACTGGTACACTTTGTAAAAACAACCATTCTGTTCAACAGATAAACGTTATATGGATAAAATCAATAGGATAATCGTTTACAACAGTCCATTACCTATCCTAATACTCATTTGCAGGTGAACTTTCTTCTTGTAGGAAAGTTTTAAAAATATATAAATGAATGAGCATCAATGTAGACCACAACGATATTCGAAATCCGGGTTTTAGTATTGTCAATAAAACAAAGGGACAAGCTGTTAATCTGAGCCTGCAATTTCGTGAAAATAATATCACAATGCACATGCTTTTAATATAAAGTTATTAAATACAAATATAACAACATATTTGTTTACTTGATTTTTACGAATCAAAATAAATCTAATTAACACAACATGAAATTAACTGCTAATAATAACAGCTCCTTCCATAGGCCAAAATAAAAAGCGTTCCATAAAAGACGACGCCGCTCACCGGCGTCGCCAATTAAGATTAGAGTTGTTACGTACATTATGAGTCATAACCTCTTTTTTGTGATGATAAATTTGAAACCCTTAAAAAAGTGTTACTAATTATTTTGTTTATTGTGTGAAGTAATTTTAGCAGTATTTCATTTGAATTTAAAAAAAATCACTAGTAAAATTTTTAGTACATAATTATGTAATTGATTGCGTTCATGATAGATTTGATTTTATTGTGAACCTGAAAAATCCAGATTGAGGCAATCAAAGCAGGTATATTTATATATGTGTATGTAGATATAAAGGTATGGTTGATTTACATCATTCTTATATAGTTCATGATTTGATTGTTTTAAAGATGTTTTTTTAGCCTTCATAAGTTTGAATAAGATTTATAATATTTTTATTGCAACAAGACGGTTGTGTCTCGCATAATATTACAACAATTCTAACTAGATGACAAGCTAGAGGTATATTATATACATTAATCTAAAATAAATTTGATATAAACAATTATAGTCATCAAAACATCAAGTTAAATAGGATAAATGATGAATTGATGATTTTTTAACTGACTACCAGGTGCATTTCCTTCCATGTAAACAGAAAAGAAAGATATTGTTGTATATTTAGATGGGGATAGTGAGCTTAACAAGAGCTTAACATATAAGACAAAACATATCTCTTTAAGCTCCTTTGTACTTGTGATCTATGAGGAGACAGACTTTAGTTAAGAAAGTAAGAAATGTGAAGATTATAGATAGGGATACTCTCATGTATATAATGATTTATTACTGTATAAAACACTCTAAAACTAGGAGTTATAAATGTTGGTGTATATTGTGGTTTAAATTGTAAAAATGTAACCGCAAAGTGTCATTAGGACAGCTGTAATGTGCATAATGTAAACAAAGATAGACAGAGGAATACTTAATATATATTGTGAAAATTTTAAAAATATAGATTTATCTAAAGAATCTTATTGAGATGACGTCAACAATTTTCTACTTATGTATTGTAGGTTCCGGAGCTATTTCAGAATATACGTGGAGCTACCCAGCGTGATATCTTCGAGGAGATGGAACCACGACAGCCGGAACCAACGAAAGCATGTTACGAGGTCATGTATGTGGGTCGAGCCAAGGTCAGGGCAAGAAAATTTTGTCTAGTCACATTGACGATCTTGTTATGAGACTGGAAGCTAAAGAACAAAGAAATAGTATTAATGCAGAAAAT